AGTAAACACAAGGAAAATACCGGTAATTCAGACACTTCCCATATACAATGCGTCACAATATCCTTGGCTCCTTACCTCGCCACTGTACAATACAAGTGTTAACATTACACACTCTGTGTCAATACCGCCCATCTGTACTCTAAACACCAAGACATATGAGAGGGAATTATGCCGGATATTATTTCCAAATAAGAAATTCTGCTTCAACAACAGTTTATATTTGAGGTTACTATGTATAAATGTTCATAACTTAAAATTCTGATCGGCCCAGTTTTATAAAGGACGTTTAGCACTAACTAGTGGATAAGTCTAACCAGTGGATAAATTCCCCTAACACCCATTAACTAAAAGATGGTTAAATTGTGTTTTATATACAGTCTTCTAACGGAAAACAGCCAATTAGTTAACTGGCCAGTGTTTGACTGGATTAAATAATTATTTAAAGGTCAGTTTACTAACAGACTATTTAGGTCTGGTTAGAGTTAAACACTGGTTAGTGCTAAACGTCCTTTATAAAACTGGGCCTTGATCATAAGTTGTTACTTTTCACTTTCTACATGAAATTAAAGCTATAGGCCAAGGGGCTTTCAATCACTCCTTTCGTGTAGAAAGCGAACAGTTTAAACTTAGAACCATTATCATCAGACTACACTGATGAATTTATATATCATTTAATGTTTAGTTTTAGCTGTGGTGTTCACGAGCACTGTATGGACGTTGGGTATTCTGGGTCTGATAGCTCTGTGCCTGTATAGACGAAGGAAGCAGGCGGAGTATAGAAAGCGCGGGTAATTATTCATATTTTCTAATATGTGTGATGTATTATTTTAAGTCCAGTTTGTTTATTACTACTTTCTGTCTAGAATATATTCTCCTTGGTTTGTGGAAAGTTAGTCTGTACTACACATTAATGCCCAGCAGTTAGATTTGAAATAAATATACGACACAGTCACATCGACAAAAATCCTTACATACAGATATGATAACATTACTTTTTCAGTCTGGACGAACTTTCACGTATGCTTCTCTCTGAGGGTGATGATGCTCCTCCTCCTCCTCGGAAACAACATCACGAAGACGAAGCTGAAAAGTAAACAAAATATCTACAGCCCTCTGTGCAGTCGATTTACGTGATGTTAAGCTACCGTGATCTGCCAAAAAGGGTGTCCTCGCTTTTCATCCGAGTAACTTGATACATCGAAAAGTGTCAGTAATTCAATAGTTGCGTTGTGAAGTCACAATCCAAACTGGTTCTCCATTCCGTTGTCAGTTTGCTTTTACATATAGTAGAAGTTTACATAGCAGGTAACACGCATATGTCTTATCTTATTTTGAAATTAAAATGGAATTTGATATCATTCCCACAACTTCACTTCCAGACCGTCGATGATTCCCTGGTACTGTCGTTTTCCACACCTATTCAAGGTTCCTCCCCAACGACCCCCTGCCTATGTCAGACTGGGCAACTTCAGCCAACAGACCCCCGGGACATACGTCGTCACCATGTAGGTAATTTTCAGCTTTTCCTACAATATTCGGTCACAGCGCAATAATTTCGAGAGCAAAAATCGAATTATTATCGAGAGTATAAATCAAATTATTTCAGTAAATCAATTGACAATTTTAAATTTGATACAATCATATACATATTTGTCAAGAGTTTGTCACGGAGTTAAATTACCCCTGTGTACATGTGTAAAAAAAAAACTCGTTTTGCCGAGTTGAATATCACTGTAGCACTCTACTTATACATGCATATGCATTCATATTCATTTTTTTTTTGCTAACTAATATGTACATTCATAAGCCTTTCTGGTAACGGACTGAGCAATGATAGTATTAAACTCATCCCAACTACGAATTGTATGATAGTGAATAAGGGAAAAAAAGATGAAAACTTAAGAGGCAAGGTACATCACAGTTGGGCTCGAACTTTCATACACGTTAGATTGGGGTTAGTGTCTTTTTCATGTATTGTGAACTGAAAACAATATAGTAAAAATCTATGGTTGATTTCAGGCCAGAGAACAACACATCCTTGTTCTCTATAGACAGTGATTCAGATGAAGAGGGAGCAGATAATAAAGCTAAGAAGCTGGATACAACGCCGAACACAGACGCTCAGAACGACAAAGATAAAGCTAAGAAGCTAGCTACAACGCCGAACACGGACGCTCAGAACGACGAAGATAAAGCTAAGAAGCTGGCTACAACGCCGAACACGGACGCTCAGAGCGACGAAGAAAAAGCTAAGAAGCTGGATACAACGCCGAACACGGACGCTCAGAGCGACGAAGAAAAAACTAAGAAGCTGGATACAACGCTGAACACGGACGCTCAGAAAGACGAATTAGAAAGGTAACGACTGCATTCGGACCACTACAGGACATAGAATTCAGGGATACCAAATAAGTTCTTCTTTGTTGCCGGGAATTTGAGAGGGGTTGGAGAGGGGGTAGCAAACAAACATCCATGCCAAGGCAAATCAACAACCACAAAAAAGGGAAAGAAAGCTAAGACAATAGTTACAAAAGAAAATAAATTGGGGAAAGTAATGTTTGGCATTATAAATATATAGTCAAAAATCAATTTTACAAGTAATTGACTATCACCTGTGCACGCTCTTACGTTATCTTTTGTACCACCTTTAACAGGCCTACCCAACTACCAGACTCGGCACCGAATGATCCTGAATTCACCGGTAAATTGGACCACACTACCCGTTTTCAAGGTGTGTATCAGTACGCATTTCACAGTATCAGACGCGACACCGCTCTTGCCTAGTACGCGATGTGATAGGGACAATTCTCAGCGGTGTTTAAAAGTATTGCATCACCACTCAAAATTTGTTCAGGGTATGATACTGTGTAATGCGTGCTGACTCACACCTTGAAAACGGGTAGTGTGGTCTGATCTACCGGTGAATTCAGGATCATTCGGTGCCGAGTCTGGTAGTCGGGTAGGCCTGTTTAAGCGACCACAGCGATGCCAGTTGTATAGTGGCACAAAGGGCGTCGTCCAGCGTGAAGGGGGTTTAACTTTGCCATTTGTTCAAACACATTACTATAATGTAAAATCACGTTGAAACTTTCAAAATTGGAAAAAATTAACCTCCGTTTTCCGTGACAGAGATATTTCCACAGCTCTGCCGTGACCAGGATTCGAACCTGGGTTGTCTCGGCCACAACGAGAAGTACTAACCACTATACGATCACGGCTGCTACGGGAGGATGTCGAACGTAGCACAAGTTTAGCCTACCCAACCACAATTTGCAACTGTATCGTTAATATTTGCTTACACTGACAGTTGCTCACCCGTTATAAATTCATATTAATAAGTCATTATAGGTATGATTTTGGCGTTTGAAACAACCCTTCTTTTAAAATTATCATGAACAGTTGAAAAAAGTACACGTGCCCTGCATATCCTGTAGCAAATGTTACGTCTAGAAACGTATACGAACTTTATTTAAAGTTTCCTCATTCCTTTTTTAGATCTATACCTATTGCAACATCTACTCCCTTAAAATCATCTGGTTTATCCGAGTTGAAGAAAAGGGCTGCTGCCGTGGAAGAAGCAGACAAACAGGTGCAGACAGACGACGACGAGGATTATCCACCTTTAAGCTGACGCAAAAGCACCATCTGATTAGTGGGTCGAACTCAAATGTGACATGAGAAAAAAGCGTCATATTCAAGACCACTGAAGTTCTCAAAATTATTCACCGTGCAATTGACAGAAAAAAATGGAATGGACGGCTGAACACTGCGCACTATGTGCGTATATGTATATGTATATAAACTCCCACGTGCCTTGTTTTGCACGTAGACAAACACGGTTGATAAAAAGTGTTGACACCACGCAAATAGAGGACCATGTGAAATCTATTTGTGATATAATGTTGAGACATAATGGGGACACGCCACAGGAGCAATTATTTTTTCACAGCCACGAATTGCGCTGTCCCGGATGTATAGTGGGAGTCCACTAACTGAGGCAAAAGCAAATGGTTGATGCCTGCACGTTGTTTATGCATATTTCAAATGTAAAGTTTGAACTTGGGATTAAAAGCATAAATGTTTGATTGTAACTATCTTATTTCCTTTCACACTGTACCGATTCCATTTTGACGTGTATATTTTAACAAAAGCAGATATTTCATGATATAAATCGGAGTTGTAAATTGCTTATTTGGTTGTTTTCTGTTTTTTCTATTAGACAACTTGATACGTAAATTATGAGGTTTATTATTCGCGCATGCACCTGTAACACATTATTACCAGTATCTTATCTCTTGCATATTCACATCTGGGACATCTTGTAACATGATATTTGTTTCATAGCGAAACGGCATCAAAAATGCATCAATATGTGATTAAAATTTGATTAGTCCAAAAATATGTACGCTCCCGCAAACGATTAAACTCCCCGTCGCCATAAGTTGTGCCTTTTAGCTTAAAGAATGCACTTTCTAACTTTAAAGGTAATACTTGCACAGTCACAGATTAGGGAAAAGTCACATTCTATAGGTCGTCACCCTTTTCAATACATAGTACATTTAGACAAACGATTTGAGCATCACTTGAAAAACAAACGGAGAATGTTCCTAGTGTTTGCTCGTTCCTAGCCTAACTGAGGGGAGGCTTTAAATCCCGGCTTAGCCCACTAACAGCCCATACCTTCTGAAGCACTCACATGGTGTGTGTGCCTGTTTAGTCGACTTACGCCTAGCAACTACCTGCTTTTAAGTTCCCTTCAAACTCGGTCACACGCATTCACCGATAAGATAAAAAGGTTGACGTGAGAGCACAGTATACCCCTAAGAAGAAATACAGCAGGGTTATAAAGTGAGTAGTTAAAGTATATAATGAAACTTAAGATGTAGGAGAATCCTGGCAGTAATATGAGAGAGAACAGCAGATAACATTGATGGGGACGGTAAGTTTGTCACATGACGCTTACGTCGTTTCATTGACTTTTCGTGCAACAGATTGATGAAATGATGGTTAGTGACGGATAAATCATGTCAGTCAGTTTGGGATATTATCATATGATTTACACTTAGTCTACAAATACCAATATGTTAACAAAGATGGCGGTGTGAAAATGAAGTTTAAGAGAAATGGAACGGTAGGTGGAACAGAACAAGATTTCAAGGACTACAAAAACAAGGAACAATGTTTCAGAATTTTTATGCTGAAAATATAATATAAATGTTGTTTTGAAATTACAAGAGTGAGGTCCGTGACCAAGGTGGGGTCTGCCAGGTACCAAAAAGCCGCCCTTTTGCTGTGAAAAGGTCCGTTCTGGTTATAAATGAATCTAGGTACACGAAGGTTTCTTGGAATACGGTTCACTTTTTCAGAAAAATCCCCCCTCCTTTGAAATTGCTAGCAATGGGCCTAACAATTATGAAAAGGATTACCTATTAACAGGAATCTTAAGGAGTCTGAGATTCAAAACCAGAGAAATCATAGTAAAATACCCCCCTAAAAACCTGTTCAGACTAGAACATATTTAGACTGAAAATAAGATCAAATTGGACCATTAGGCGGCGAGACTGAGCCTGGACTCAGGGGAATACTGGTGTAGTACTGTAAGGCTCTTCACAGATATTGGTAAACATTGAAAACAGATAGCGACAGTCTTAAGTCACACGTGAATTGCGCCGTAAATCACGAATTCTATTGCCATTTTAAACGTGTTATCTTAAGGAGGGGATGAAAAGGAGGGAGCTGAGTATGTGGGGTGGGGTGGAGAGTATTGGTTAAGTTGGTAATCTTTCTTCTAGAAGGAAGTTCTCTCAGTAAGTTGACTCAGTGGGGGGACCCCGCGTCTTATCTGACATCCGCGTCTGCTGATAAAAAAGTTGACAAATATGCAAACAGAAAATCTGCTCCACTGCAGTGCAGGTTCATGGTAATGGCGGTGTGCGTGCAGTGTTTATCACTGATCATAATGTCCTAAAGTAAACAACAGCTTGAGTCAACATTACATTGCAGCAGGTTGATCATAGCAAGCACCTGCTTTTCATAACAGATAATGAATAAATTACAGAGAGAATATCAACAGATTTGCCAAAGCCAGGCTATAGGAAATGGTGGTAAGATGGTCACATCGCGGGGTTCAAACTATATGATCACGACCAAGCAGCAAACATCCACCATTAACTATAATGAGATATAGATAAAAATATAGAATTGAATTTATACTTTTTGCGATTAATTAAGCCTTGCAATAGCATAGGTTAAACATAAAATAGGCAGGTTGAATTACAGACGAAATGTTTTTGGCAGATTACATGTGTTGTAAGAGAAAATTGATTCTTCCAAAAGTAAGAATACTTGAAAAAGCACAGCTCTGGATTATTATTGTCCTAATACCAAATGATTGGTTGTCATAGCAACACTTCCTCCACGTACAACCACATTTACTCTATTACAGCTGAAGCGAATCTTACGAGGAGACATGGACGACCTTTCCTCATCTGTGAGGCCTTCCCAAGGGGCGGCAGTCCTCGTATCTCTCCCGCGCAATGTATACTACATGGACGAGGAAGACAGGAGGCAGTCGGCAGATGACAGCACTGTCGCGAATTATCAGTATGGCGATACAAACTTTGGCCTGAAAAGTCGGATGTTCGGAACGACCCCCACTTTTTTCAATAGTGGCATGACTGGTCCGATTTCGAATGGTTCCTATGGATACCAAGAATCGCACTTTCTCAACAGAAAACGGCAAGAGGCCAGCATGAACAAGACAGAAAAGGGACCAGGATTGGCAAATGGCAGCAGCAAGTTTTCCTTGAAGACCGCGAGTCCTGGTCCGGATGGCTTCCATCCTAATGATGACAAAAGTTCTTTCTTTGCTAAGGTGAGCCCAAGCGACTTTGTTTGACTTCTCAAAGGCCATGTCTAGTTCTGTACTTTTTCATCTTCAAATGTTTTAGTTCTAGATACTTATTTAAGGCTACCCGATAATAGCATACCCTATGTATTCCATAGTCAAAATAAAAACAAGTTCATTTGGCTTTAGCACTGGTTAACGAATCCGCTCAGTCCTAGATTTGGAAAAGCTCTTAAAACTCACAAAATAAAAGGACGCGACTTCTTCGTTGGTTTGATAAATGAATCAGGAACGTCTTCCTACATTGGTTTTTACAGGGTCGTGACTTCGAAAGCGTCAATACCAACCATAAGTATACCATTTCTGAGAGAGAACTGCTAGCAACTCATGACAGTCAGGACTATCTGCCCCCTCACAGCGAGGTCTACAAAAAGTGGATAAGAAAGCGTCCGGCAAGGTAAGTCCAACATTCTTCTCATATTTTTATTGAATTGCACATATAGAAGGTGTGTTCTTTTAATTACACAAAAAATATCACTGTCATCCAGTAAAAAAGTAATATTTCATTGTTGACTTCAAAAACGTGTCTAAAACGAAATAATTTCTTTGGTCCTCCGTAGATTAAACTGGGACCGCTGGTACATGATGGCGCTGATTGGCTGCGCAGTGGGAATTGTGGGATACCTCCTCCACCAAACCGTAGCCTTGATTTCAGACTTCAAATGGGAGAGAGCAGAAGAGTATATCAAGGTGTATATAAACGATTAGTACATTTTCATTAGAAGTGCAGAATGGACGTCTAAGAAACAGTTTCAAACATACAAGACAAAGAAAAGCAAGCATGATGTGTGAATTTTGAAATGAGCGATACGATTTCACTTCAGAATTTTTTTCCAATATATTTTAAAAGTATAAATGGCACTGAAATCGCTTTGCTGTTAATTAATTTACTATTTATTTACTTTGATGAAAAATAATTTTCAATTTATGTTTTAGGAAGATATTTGGAAAGCGTACGCTTGGTTGTTGAGCTACAGTCTAGGATTCACCGCCATAGCGTCATTCTTAGTTGCAGTAAGTGGCAACATATCCAACCACAAACATGAAGCAGTTTTTTAAAGATTCATCTTGATTAAGAGCACTAGCTGTTATAGATATATCAGATATAAAATAGTATCATAAAAAACGCTCTTTTAAATAGGTTTCCGCGTTAAAGCGTGCGTGAGTGATACATGCACGTTTCCTGAATAGGGCCTATATATATAGTTTATATCGTGTCCTTCCAGTTTGTATGGCCATACGCAGCGGGATCGGGAATTCCAGAAATCATCGGTTTCCTGAACGGCACAGTTGTCCGCCACGCGCTGAACCTCAAGACCTTCATCGTCAAGTTTATGTCGTGCGCATGCGCCGTGGGTGGAGGTCTCCCCGTCGGACCTGAAGGACCAATGATCCANAACCATAAGTATACCATTTCTGAGAGAGAACTGCTAGCAACTCATGACAGTCAGGACTATCTGCCCCCTCACAGCGAGGTCTACAAAAAGTGGATAAGAAAGCGTCCGGCAAGGTAAGTCCAACATTCTTCTCATATTTTTATTGAATTGCACATATAGAAGGTGTGTTCTTTTAATTACACAAAAATATCACTGTCATCCAGTAAAAAAGTAATATTTCATTGTTGACTTCAAAAACGTGTCTAAAACGAAATAATTTCTTTGGTCCTCCGTAGATTAAACTGGGACCGCTGGTACATGATGGCGCTGATTGGCTGCGCAGTGGGAATTGTGGGATACCTCCTCCACCAAACCGTAGCCTTGATTTCAGACTTCAAATGGGAGAGAGCAGAAGAGTATATCAAGGTGTATATAAACGATTAGTACATTTTCATTAGAAGTGCAGAATGGACGTCTAAGAAACAGTTTCAAACATACAAGACAAAGAAAAGCAAGCATGATGTGTGAATTTTGAAATGAGCGATACGATTTCACTTCAGAATTTTTTTCCAATATATTTTAAAAGTATAAATGGCACTGAAATCGCTTTGCTGTTAATTAATTTACTATTTATTTACTTTGATGAAAAATAATTTTCAATTTATGTTTTAGGAAGATATTTGGAAAGCGTACGCTTGGTTGTTGAGCTACAGTCTAGGATTCACCGCCATAGCGTCATTCTTAGTTGCAGTAAGTGGCAACATATCCAACCACAAACATGAAGCAGTTTTTTAAAGATTCATCTTGATTAAGAGCACTAGCTGTTATAGATATATCAGATATAAAATAGTATCATAAAAAACGCTCTTTTAAATAGGTTTCCGCGTTAAAGCGTGCGTGAGTGATACATGCACGTTTCCTGAATAGGGCCTATATATATAGTTTATATCGTGTCCTTCCAGTTTGTATGGCCATACGCAGCGGGATCGGGAATTCCAGAAATCATCGGTTTCCTGAACGGCACAGTTGTCCGCCACGCGCTGAACCTCAAGACCTTCATCGTCAAGTTTATGTCGTGCGCATGCGCCGTGGGTGGAGGTCTCCCCGTCGGACCTGAAGGACCAATGATCCATATAGGGTATTACACACTTGATCGTTTAATCCGTTGTCAAGTTGTCAAGTTGCCGTTGTCAAGTTACTTAAAATCAAAACTGTAGGCTCACTGTGCGCTGTTCGTAACGTGTTTGTATCATTAGCTCTATTTTCTCATCAATCCATTTAAACAACAACAGTGGCACATGAACGCTGAATGACATACAAGAGAAGCGCGGTTGTTAAACATTTAGGGTAAATTGCTTCCATCAAATTAAAATTTTGTTTTATACCATTTTAGAGCTATCGTCGGAAATGGCCTAAGTCAATTTCGCTCGAGGACCTTTGGTTGTAAACTTCCGTTTTTTGAACGATTCAGGAACTCAGAAGACAGGTAAGGGTTTTAGGGAATATAACGTTTATGTCTTGATAAGTTTGGTAAATAGCAGGTTGGCAAGGACTACAATTTGTCAATAGGACATTCACCGTGCAATAAACCGACTTGTGCCTTCCTATATTACAGGGGAGCATCATTTTTGGGGCCTCAAATGGATTAAAAGATCACATCTAAGTTTGCAATAATGTTATGTGCATTTTGATCACTTTAAATGTAAACGAGAGAAACGGGAGTTTTTAACCAGTTACTGTCTTCACTGCTGTTTGGCACGTACTGCCATATAATGCCTTACTACGGGCAAATATTAATACTTGTACCAGTGACGTCAGATTTCGGTTAATAACCCCGCTTCTTTCCTTCGCTACAAAAGTGATCAAAATTCGGAGAAAAAAAATGCATGTGACTCAAATCTAACATTTAAACTCCCAGAGAAAGACATTTGTCTGTGGCAACTGTTTCCGCCCAAAAATGAAAAAGTCAGAAGATATTGGCAAATGAGTTAAGTTTCCATAAGTGATATGGCTGAAAAAATGAAAAACACGTGAGCACAATTCGGAGAAAAAATGCATATGAATTAAATCTAGCATTTAAACCCCCAAAGACGTTTGCCTGTAGTAACTGTTTCCGCCCTAAAATGAAAATGTTGGAAGATATAGGTGGCAAATGAGTTAAGTTCCCATAAATGGCTGAAAAAATGAAAAACACGAGCTCGCCAGGACTCGAACCTGGAATCTTCCGCTCCGTAGGCGGACGCGTTATCCATTGCGCCACGAGCCCGTTCTCGTAAGCGTTACGCTGACGTGATCCGCCGATGCCAAGATGCCGACTGCATAGCGTGTGATACCGCCATTATTTTAATCTTGGCTGAACAATATAGGCCTCGTAAGTGGACAGTTCATGAGTTGTATCACAGTATAGAGGGAGTTTGAACTGTAGTGCTAGATAGAAACCGAACTGCTACTATATCGATGGGTGAATTTGATGGAAAAATTCAAAAACATTGATTGAAAAACATGCGTAATTCATCGATGAAGAAGTATCACTCATGATGAATCCACCAACCCATCCACATCCAAGCTATTTCACTCCTTTCTACAATCTTAAATGACGGTCAGATTTCTTTCAAAATTAACCTCTGTTTTTAAGTGCACGTTAACAAATCCGTGGTTCGAGATCTCAAAACATGATAGACTGGGGATGTCAACCCACTAAGGTCATGCCCAGTTGATATGTTACGTTAGGGGTGGTGTAGTTAAATACGAGAAGACAGCTAGTTGATGATCTCAAATTCCATAGAGTTCGTACATATAATGTTATACCAGCTCTAGTCATAAGATATTGGCAAATGAGTTGAGTTTCCATAACAATATGGCTGAAAAAATGAAAAACACGAGCTCGCCAGGACTCGAACCTGGAATCTTCCGCTCCGTAGGCGGACGCGTTATCCATTGCGCCACGAGCCCGCTTACGCAAGACCAAGAGCCAACGTCGGTCCGGCTCCAACCTCTACTCCAGCTATCTCTTTAAGATAAAAACTTTTTTACAAGTCTCAATCGTACCTTTCATTTTCACAAGTCCTTTCTTTTTTAATGCACGTTCTGTATCCATTAATCCTTATCTTCATGATTTTAAAATTTCAGGAGAAATTTCACTTCAGCGGGGGCCGGTGCCGGGGTGGCGTCTGCTTTTGGAGCACCCGTGGGTGGTTTGTTATTCGCTTTGGAAGAAGTGTCTTCATTCTGGACGATGAAACTGTCTTGGATGACTTTCTTCTGCTGTATGGTGGCCACATTTTCCACAGACTTTCTGAACTCAGCATTTGCCGAATTCAAATACTGGGGAAGCGTCGGCCTGTTTGATGTGGATAAATACATCATATTCCGGGTGGGTGAATGTTCGTGTTGATTTACGGACACTTAATTTTTACCTTAATATCAATGCTTAACTTCTTGCTGTAGGTACACCTAATTCACCAAAGCAAGTGCCACTACAATGAAAATCTTTTGAAATAATCGATTATTGGCAATTTACTTGCTAAAGTTGTCTTTGGGCGCGTCATTTTGAATGGCAGTGTCAGAACTTTCACCATTTTGTAATGACCTCCTATCCTGGTTCCTAGGTTCGAGATGCACTTGCCATAAACATCATTATGTTCCTACCGTCGGTTGTTCTGGGGATATTTGGAGGAATCCTGGGCGCCATCTTCACCATTATCAATTTAAAAATAGGTCGCACAAGACGAGCCATCATGTCAAAGATAACGAACAAATGGCTGGAAAAGCTGGCCAGGTTTTTTGAGCCTCTGATTATCATGGTAATACATTCTCATAATACGATATTTCCAATTATTTGTTAGATTATTTTATTAAATAGCAAGACCTTTTAAATAAGAATAATAATTAAATTAAAAAAATTGTTACACAGCTGAAATTAAATCTTTGAACCAAAATATGAACCCCCTTTCCCTTGCAAGAAAGGGCGCGCTTACATAGATTTTAGATCGATCTATCCCCATGGGGAGTCTCACTAGATTACTGTCAGATAATCCGGCTTAAATGTCCGTCCCGCTCCTACAAGCTGTAAGGCGGTAATTTACTTTCGTGCCCACTCGGCTGGCAGCTATTTAGCGTGAACCCCCAGGGAGTTAGGTCGATCTAGTTGGATCGATCTTATCTCGATCTCACCTCTCATCTGAACATTATATATATCTGAAGTAACAGAGTGAGCGTTAAGAAGTATTTTTTTTCTTTTTTTTTCTCTGAAGGCCATACTAGGCACGTGTGCTGTGTGGATACCGACACTATTTCCATGTAAGCCAAGCACGTGTCCCACGCTGCCCGCCAATGTAACAGCACTGCCCAATGGAACAGAGTAAGAACAAACTGTAACTTTAACTAAAGGGGTATGTCATTTTTATCATCATGTACACAAGGCTATAAAAGTTTTTTTTTTTTTTGTGGATGATGATGAAAATGCAGGACCCCTTAGTATAGCAACTGTATGCTTTTTTTAAATGGTTGAGTGATCCTTTGAAATATAAAAACCTCATGTCTACCTGTGTAGGTGCACATGTACCAATAACATCAGTTTCGACTGAGTCACACACATACAGGAACCACTCAGGTTTTTGTTCCAAAGGGGATCACACAACCATTTAAACTTGCTATGGAGCACAGAGATATTCATAGATTTTAGCTTATACTCTTTTACAAATCCTTAGCTTATACTCTTGCATAATCCTTACAACGTTTCTAAACTGAAAAGAATTTTGTCACTGTGACTGTTCCGAATACAAGATTACAGAATCGCTTGAGGTGTTCCAAATTCACTATTTCTATTAAATTCTGCGAAGGCGGGAAAGGGGGGAAGAAGTCATACAAGACAACCAGATCATTTTGATTGTTGTTTAAGAGGATTTATTACACGCACGCTTTCTGGCATCTTTTAACAAGAGAAAGATAGTTTCCAAGTTGGTCACTAAAGAACCAAATTGTAATTCTAAGAGAAGATAAATCCACTGACATTGTCTCCCATTTCAGCATTAAGTGCCCTGTTGTTGGGAATTTCACATGGAAAATAAGCAAGCACGCTGTGCAGTTCACGTGTTCGGGGCCAGAGCACGGTGAGGCACATTCAGCGTCGGCACATGGACAGTACAACGAGTGTAAGGACATTTTTTTATGATTTGCGCTGTATGATGGTAAAACATTTTAAGATTTTCGAAAAAAAACAAAATTTTACGATAATCTTTATCCATTTTGGTTGGTCAGCTTATCCTTAATCTGCTAATCTCACCTATTTACGTTCCTTAGTCTCATATTTGTAGAAATATTTACACGGGTATATCACTTGTAAGGTAAAACCAAGCTTTTATTTGGTAGTGTACTAGTTCCACAAGCTTTTTTTTTTTTTTCNCCATTTTCATTAGAAGTGCAGAATGGACGTCTAAGAAACAGTTTAAAACATACAAGACAAAGAAAAGCAAGCATGATGTGTGAATTTTGAAATGAGCGATACGATTTCACTTCAGGATTTTTTTCCAATATATTTTAAAAGTATAAATGGCACTGAAATCGCTTTGCTGTTAATTAATTTACTATTTATTTACTTTGATGAAAAATAATTTTCAATTTATGTTTTAGGAAGATATTTGGAAAGCGTACGCTTGGTTGTTGAGCTACAGTCTAGGATTCACCGCCATAGCGTCATTCTTGGTTGCAGTAAGTGGCAACATATCCAACCACAAACATGAAGCAGTTTTTTAAAGATTCATCTTGATTAAGAGCACTAGCTGTTATAGATATATCAGATATAAAATAGTATCATAAAAAACGCTCTTTTAAATAAGTTTCCGCGTTAAAGCGTGCGTGAGTGATACATGCACGTTTCCTGAATAGGGCCTATATATAGTTTATATCGTGTCCTTCCAGTTTGTATGGCCATACGCAGCGGGATCGGGAATTCCAGAAATCATCGGTTTCCTGAACGGCACAGTTGTCCGCCACGCGCTGAACCTCAAGACCTTCATCGTCAAGTTTATGTCGTGCGCATGCGCCGTGGGTGGAGGTCTCCCCGTCGGACCTGAAGGACCAATGATCCACATAGGGTATTACACACTGTGTCAAGTTAACTTACAATCAAAATTGTAGGCTCATTGTGCGCTGTTCGTAACGTGTTTGTATCATTAGCTCTATTTTCTCATCAATCCATTTAAACAACAACAGTGGCACATGAACGCTGAATGACATACAAGAGAAGCGCGGTTATTAAACATTTAGAGTAAATTGCTTCCATCAAATTAAAAATTTGTTTTATACCATTTTAGAGCTATCGTCGGAAATGGCCTAAGTCAATTTCGCTCGAGGACCTTTGGTTGTAAACTTCCGTTTTTTGAACGATTCAGGAACTCAGAAGACAGGTAAGGGTTTTAGGGAATATAACGTTTATGTCTTGATAAGTTTGGTAAATAGCAGGTTGGCAAGGACTACAATTTGTCAATAGGACATTCACCGTGCAATAAACCGACTTGTGCCTTCCTATATTACAGGGGAGCATCATTTTTGGGGCCTCAAATGGATTAAAAGATCACATCTAAGTTTGCAATAATGTTATGTGCATTTTGATCACTTTAAATGTAAACGAGAGAAACGGGAGTTTTTAACCAGTTACTGTCTTCACTGCTGTTTGGCACGTACTGCCATATAATGCCTTACTACGGGCAAATATTAATACTTGTGCCAGTGACGTCAGATTTCGGTTAATAACCCCGCTTCTTTCCTTCGCTACAAAAGTGATCAAAATTCGGAGAAAAAAATGCATGTGACTCAAATCTAACATTTAAACTCCCAGAGAAAGACATTTGTCTGTGGCAACTGTTTCCGCCCAAAAATGAAAAAGTTAGAAGATATTGGCAAATGAGTTAAGTTTCCATAAGTGATATGGCTGAAAAAATGAAAAACACGTGAGCAAAATTCGGAGAAAAAATGCATATGAATTAAATCTAGCATTTAAACCCCCAAAGACGTTTGCCTGTAGTACTGTTTCCGCCCTAAAATGAAAATGTTGGAAGATATAGGTGGCAAATGAGTTAAGTTCCCATAAATGGCTGAAAAAATGAAAAACACGAGCTCGCCAGGACTCGAACCTGGAATCTTCCGCTCCGTAGGCGGACGCGTTATCCATTGCGCCACGAGCCCGTTCTCGTAAGCGTTACGCTGACGTGATCCGCCGATGCCAAGACGCCGACTGCATAGCGTGTGATACCGCCATTATTTTAATCTTGGTTGAACAATGTAGGCCTTGTAAGTGAACGGTTCATGAGTTGTATCACAGTATAGAGGGAGTTTGTCCCCGAGTTCTACACAGAAGCCAAATTGCATGCTATATGGATGGGTGAATTTGATGGAAAATTCAAAAACATTGATTGAAAAACGTGTAATTCATCGATGAAGAAGTATCACTCATGATGAATCCACCAACCCATCCACATCCAAGCTATTTCACTCCTTTCTTCAATCTTAAATGACGGTCAGATTTCTTTCAAATTTAACCTCTGTTTTTAAGTCCACGTTTACAAATCCGTGGTTCGAGATCTCAAAACATGATAGACCGGGGATGTCAACCCAATAAGGTCATGCCCAGTTGATAGGTTAGGTTAGGGGTGGTGTAGTTAAATACGAGAAGACAGCTAGTTGATGATCTCAAATTCCATAGAGTTCGTACATATAATGTTATACCAGCTCTAGTCATAAGATATTGGCAAATGAGTTGAGTTTCCATAACAGTATGGCTGAAAAAATGAAAAACACGAGCTCGCCAGGACTCGAACCTGGAATCTTCCGCTCCGTAGGCGGACGCGTTATCCATTGCGCCACGAGCCCGTTCACGTAAGCGTTACGATGACCTGTTCCGCCGATGTCCAGACGCCGACTGCATCGCGTGTGAAACCGCAATTATTTCAATCTTTGCTGAATAATGTAGGCCTTGTAAGTGGACGGTTCATGAGTTGTATCACATTATAGATGGAAATTGTCCCCGAGTTCTACACAGAAGCCAAATTGCATACTAAATCGATGGCTGAATTTGACTGAAAAATAATAAATCGTGTGTAATTCGTCGATGATTGTGTACATCCTTGCCATGATGAGTGTAGTGGAGGTTACCAATAATAAACGCGTCTTTTCAACCTTAGTTTACATAACATGACACATTGAAGGACAAAAGGCCCTCCTCAGCATTTTTATAACGTTTAAGTATCACTCAGGGGAGGATTTAGGGGGGCCCTTACCTCCCCTTCGATTTCTCCCAAAAAATTACACCAATAATCCCTTCCTGAAATTAGAATTTTGACTAGCTGAAACAGTTCTTAACCGTTCCGAATGGAGCCGTTCGCACTCTAAAATACCAAAATTTTGCGGGACCCTTCAGCCGCAGCGGGGTCCGAACCCCACGCCAAGGGGGAGGGGAGGGGAGCGGAGAATCGGCTTCTCATCCGCAGACCCCCCCCCCCCCTTCAAATGACCTTGGATCGGCCCCTGTGACTCATGATGAATCCACCAACCCATCCCATCTAGGCTACATCACCCCTTTCAACGATCTGAAATGACTGTCAGATTTCCTTCCAAATTTAGCTGTTTTTTTAACGTTCGCAATTACAAATCAGTGGCTCGAGATCTCAAAACGTGGAGGATAAGGATACCTACCCACTAAGTACAGCCTCTACTGATGTGCAAGTTTATTTAGGGGTGGTGCAGTGTCGAGTTGACAGCTAGGTGATGATCTCAAATCCCATGGAGTTCTTATATATAATATTATACCAGCTCTAATTACAAGTTATTGACAAATGAGTTGAGTTGCCAAAAATGATATGGCTGAAAAAAATGAAAAGTTCGAGCTCGCCAGGACTCGAACCTGGAATCTTCCGCTCCGTAGGCGGACGCGTTATCCATTGCGCCACGAGCCCGCTTACGCACGACAAAGCGTCAACGTCGGTCCGGCTCCAACCTCTGCTATCCTCTGCTCCAGCTATCTCTTTAAGAAAAAAATTGTTTACAAGTCTCAATCGTAACTTTTATTTTCACAAGTCCATTTCTTTTTTAATGCACGTTCTGTATCCATTAATCCTTATCGTCATGACTTTAAAATTTCAGGAGAAATTTCACTTCAGCGGGGGCAGGTGCCGGGGTGGCGTCTGCTTTTGGAGCACCAGTGGGTGGCTTGTTATTCGCTTTGGAAGAAGTGTCTTCATTCTGGACGATGAAACTGTCTTGGATGACTTTCTTCTGCTGTATGGTGGCCACATTTTCCACTGACTTTCTGAACTCTGCATTTGCCGAGTTTAAATACTGGGGAAGCGTCGGCCTGTTTGATGTGGATAAGTACATCATATTTCGGGTGGGTTAATGTTCGTGTTGATTTACAGACACTTAATCTTCACCTTTAATAGCAATAAATAACTTCTTGCTGTACACAATCTAAATTACCAAAGCAGGTTCGACTACAATGAAACTCTCAGGAAATAATTAATCAGCGGCATTAACTTGTTTAAGTAGCCTAATAAGTTGTCTTAGGGCACGTCACCTGAATTGCAGTATCAGAACTTTCACCATATGCTAATGACCTCCTATCCTGGTACCTAGGTTCGAGATGCGCTTGCCATTAACATCATAATGTTCCTACCGTCGGTTGTACTGGGAATATTTGGAGGCATCCTGGGCGCCATCTTCACCATCATCAATTTGAAAATTGGTCGCACAAGACGAGCCATCATGTCAAAGATAACGAATAAATGGCTGGAAAAGCTGGCCAGGTTTTTTGAACCTCTTATTATCATGGTAGTACATTCTCATCATACGGTATTTCCATTTATTTGTTAGAATGCTTCATTAAATAGCAAGGTTTTTCGATATGGATATTAATTTAAATGTGTATTTTGCCACACAGATTAAATTGAGCCTTTGAACAACAACAACAACAAAAAAAAAATCTCGCAGATGTACATTTTATATACCTTAAGTAACAGAATGTGCGTTAAGAAGTATCTTTTTTCTTTGTTTTCTCTTTAGGCTATACTGGGCACGTGTGCTGTATGGATACCTACGTTGTTTCCATGTAAACCAAGCACGTGCCCCACGCTACCCGCCAATGTAACAGCACTGCCCAATGGAACAGAGTAAGAACAAACTGTAACTTTAACTTAAGGGCTATGTCATTTTTATCATCATGTTCACAAGGCTACAAGTTTTTTTTCTTTTTGTGGATGATGATGAAAATGCAGGACCCCTTAGTATAACAACTGTATGCTTTTTTTTAAATGGTTGAGTGATCCTTTGGGATATAAAAACCTCATGTCTACCTGTGTAGGTGCACATGTACCAATAACATCAGTTTCGACTGAGTCACACACATACAGGAACCACTCAGGTTTTTGTTCCAAAGGGGATCACACAACCATTTAAACTTGCTATGGAGCACAGAGATATTCATAGATTTTAGCTTATACTCTTTTATAAATCCTTAGCTTATACTCTTGCATAATCCTTACGTTTCTAAACTGAAAAGAATTTTGTCACTGTGACTGTTCCGAATACAAGATTACAGAATCGCTTGAGGTGTTCCAAATTCACTATTTCTATTAAATTCTGCGAAGGCGGGAAAGGGGGGAAGAAGTCATACAAGACAACCAGATCATTTTGATTGTTGTTTAAGAGGATTTATTACACGCACGCTTTCTGGCATCTTTTAACAAGAGAAAGATAGTTTCCAAGTTGGTCACTAAAGAACCAAATTGTAATTCTAAGAGAGGATAAATCCACTGACATTGTCTCCCATTTCAGCATTAAGTGCCCTGTTGTTGGGAATTTCACATGGAAAATAAGCAAGCACGCTGTGCAGTTCACGTGTTCGGGGCCAGAGCACGGTGAGGCACATTCAGCGTCGGCACATGGACAGTACAACGAGTGTAAGGACATTTTTTATGATTTGCGATGTATTGATGGTAAAACATTTTAAGATTTTCGAAAAAAACAAAATTTTACGATAATCTTTATCCATTTTGGTTGGTCAGCTTATCCTTAATCTGCTAATCTCACCTATTTACGTTCCTTAGTCTCATAGACTCACATTTGTAGAAATATTTACACGGGTAAATCACTTGTAAGGTAAAACCAAGCTTTTATTTGGTAGTGTACTAGTTCCACAAGCTTTTTTTTTTTCGATTTCTTAATCGTTGAAATGGTACGTATTCTATTCACAGTGGCCTCTCTCCTGTTCCTTGGCGGCGAAGAGGCAGTCCATAATATGTTTTCAAGACGCACTCACCTCATGTTTGACTACCTTTCCCTGGTGACCGCTTTCGTCATCTACTTCCTGCTGGCGGGCTGGATACCCGGAAGTTCGGTTTCTGCGGGATTGGTGGTACCGATGCTGTAAGTTGGTCACTTGTAATCTATCTGGCTATATAGTCCTCTGTAACCCCTAAGGTGAAACGAATAAACAATAGCTCAAAAACTATACTGCTGTATCATACTGTTTTCAAAAAACAAGAAAATAACTTAAAGAGAAAGAGAAAAATACTGTTTTCGATAAAAAGAAAAAAATTGTTGAGAGAGAGAGAGAGAGAGCAAAAAAAAAAAAAAAGGAACAGGCTCTGCAACGACATTGGATATTTTACAATCTTTTCAGTTATATCGGCGGGCTATACGGAAGAATCCTTGGACGCGGAATGGTGGACATATTTTACATGGTGACTGGCCAGATGCCTACAGACCCGTACTGGGAGTGGATCGATCCAGGGGCCTTCGCTCTTATTGGGGCAGCCAGCTTCTTCGGGGGAGTGTCCCGTCTGACTATGTCACTGACCGTTATCATGGTAAGTTCCCTGCATTTTATTGTAATTTTCAGTTGCCTCAATTTCTCAAAGAATTATGTCTGGGGACCAACTTGGTTCGTAGGTGTATTCAACCTCTCCTTATGTTTATGCTCCTATCAGTAGGTAGAGAAATGCTTTAGGGTTGAGAAAATATATGCAACTTATATTGTTGTAATTTAATGAAAATATAAACCTGATTAATTCCATTTCAGTGTCAGTTTGATAATATAACTTTACAGTTAGAATAAAAACCATCACTTTGTCTTTATTTTACAGATGGAGATCACCAACGACATCCAGTTTCTGTTACCTATCATGGTGTCTGTGATGACGGCCAAGTGGGTTGGCGACATGATCACACACCCCCTCTATCACTCTCTGCTGGAATTAAAGTGCATCCCTTTCTTAGCAGACGAACCTGTGGTGTTTGATGACAAGCACGATGTGTGAGTTAATCTTATGCTAGGATCAAACGAAATGAGCCCACCCTATATATATCAACGTCTTTTAGTCCATGTCTTTTTAAATAATAATAATTATAATAATAATAACCCCAAGACACCGTCATCATTAACAAAATCTAGAATATATATCATTTTCTCAGAAACGTATTTTGCACAGAATATAACCTAGATATGGGAAAATTACATTCTTTCTGTTTTTGTTGCTGTCAAAATGTATGGCTATCAAATTATTTCAGAGTTAACTTAGAACTATACTCTGTAGCTGACATAATGACAACACCTGTGACTACTCTTCAAATTCACGAGAGTGTGGGAACTTTGGCGAGACTTGTGCTTCAGAACCCGTATGGAGGATATCCAGTGGTATCTAGTGATGGGGATAATGACGATCATCTTTTCGGCTTGATAACAAGGTCAGTTTGTTGGATAAGGAAACATCAGAATAATGTTACACGTAGAAGGGTCTTCATAACTTTAAAATTATCACAAATGTATCAGCCTGCCTTATGGGCCAAAAGAAATACATGTAAGTTAACTTCTTCAATGAAATATGGCCACAGAAGAGCAGCTATAAGATATGTTCTTTTCCTTATATCTTATCATTCACAATCTTTATTTTTTAGAAATGAAATTATAATATTGCTAACGGAAGCGGAGATTCCACCGCACGCTCCCCCAGATAAAGTGTACACACCCAGTCTTTCCTTTGGAGTGGTAGGTGGCATTGACGGATTAAATATACGTTCATAATAATATGTTGGGAAAAAAACCGCAACCTTGTGAATTCAACTAAAATATCCCACTCTATTTCGGTAAAAAATGACTTTAACCTGTTGCACAGTGTAGAGTCTGGTATGTAGAATGTTTGATTATTGTTCTAAAGAAGATAATGAAGAGATCTTGAAGTTTTCTGAAGACAATCACATGCTCTTTTTCACTTGAAAATCTTCAAGGTAAAAAACTAACCGATTTAATATGACTTAAATGGACTACAGATTTATGTTTATATCTGTTGTTATGTTTATATCTGTTGTAAAATACATATACAGAATGCCTTGAAATTTACTTAAACTGTTTATTTTTTTAGCTACGTGACGCCATTGATCGTTTGGGAAGTTTGAAAATGCGTGAAGCCCTTCTACAGAAATACGTAACTAATTCATCCTACCAAGACATTATGCTAGATCTTGTAAGTGAAAGTATTTACTTAAATAAATCAAAACCTAATGTACATATATGTGTGGATAAAAGGCATAAAACTGAATTTGATATGGAGTGAAAATTCCAATTTTATATTTCTCTTTCTTTCTTACATTAATAGTCGCCGTTCATCAATAAATCATCAAGCAGTATTCAAAGCAGCTTCTCTCTCCATCGGACCTATATAATGTTCCGCACACTGGGATTACGTCATCTGACAGTTGTGGATCGCCGGAACCGCGTGGTCGGTATCTTGTCGCGGAAGGATATCATGGGTCACTATCTGGAGGAGAAACTGGACTTAAAGCAGCGGAGGCAAAGACACCGGACACAACGAAAGGTCGAGTCAGAAAGAAGAAAAGGAAAAGAGGCATTCGCTTATGAAAACATTGTAGTTTCGACTACATTGGAAAGGGAAGGAAATGATCACATGAGGAATGACGACGTTTTGTACTAAACTCAGCAGAGGAGATCTTTCATTCATTGCGCTAGAGGAGATATTTCATTCATTGTGTCAGAGGAAACTTCTACCCAAGGGCAAATTCCTAATTTGTCTATGTTTACTATACGTATTTTAAGTGACCAGAACATATATTAACTTTTCGTCGAGGGGATTGCTTTTGTGCTCCCGCTCCTGGTTGTCCATAATCAGGGATAACGCATTTTGCTCATAGACGCCCATAGACTACCCCTGCAGTTCACTTTATTAACAAATAAGTTATAAGAATGGTTCTTATAATTGCCATAAAAAATCTGACTTAGGCCTGGGTGTTGTTGACTTCGAGTATATATCAGTCTTGTGTTCTTAAGCACACCAAATAACAATTGCTTACCTATGTCACTAACAAAACATGTTGATAAACGTAACATTCGGAATAAAAGATGCTAAGACATCTAATGATCCCAAGTAAAATTGATCTATTCATGCTTTATTTGAACCGAAGTCAAACACATAAATAACTTTGAAATAATTTAAAATGTTATTATTTTCTGAATTCAGCTCAATACGACTTCTCGATGTGATCGACAACAGGACACAATTACGCTGATTTTTTTCCATTCATACTGCTAATCTGTTGACTCCATACAGTAAAAACCAATTGGTGACTTGGACACCGCCCCCTCCCATGCAAACATGCGCAATCATACACCCATAGTCTTAACCTGTTGTTAGCACACCTATACATGTAGTTCCTAGACGACCAATCCCCCCAGGGAAAACATGGTAACCTAATAGGTATTCAGGGGACTACGGTCCAGTCATTACGATTACGAAACACTTATTATGAAACCCGTTATGGTTGTTAAATACCGCATTTTCCTCTACAACAATACATCACTTCAAGCACCACTACGCTCTCCTCACACACATAGTCCAGTCAAACGTCCCTCTGGTCTCTATGAGGCATCACACCAAGCGTGACACGCTTAATCGCACGTGCTCATGCTCCGCTGGTTTTTACAAATCTGGGCAGACTAAGCAGCGCTACTTTAGTAACATCTCCCCTCTCGATAATTACAGTAACTGGTTTTTAAAAAATCAGCCATATGATACAATATTTGTAAGGCTATGCGAGTCAGAAAAGTGTTTGCTGGATTAATACTTTCAAGCCGATTGAGCTTTTGGCTTTTAACACGAGTTTGTACGAGCCTGGATACGGTACAATAGCCCGTAATACTAGGGTCGAGTGGAGGTTGAAAAAACAAACAAACCCTCAGCGAACACGCTTGCAAACAAGATTGTTAACAAATTGTGCAAATTATCCAAATATCCGAAAAAAATATTAAAATTTTAAAAACAAACCGAAGTCAACAAGATGCTTTTCATTTTGTGTACGGTATCATAAATACAGTGACGTTTACTGCTTCTTTTAATTGGTCCTTTTCAGGCACCTTTCTGTACGCATTTTTCGCAGGTGCACCTCCATGGCTCAGGACAACAAATCCAATAACGCTTTCACTTAACATTTACATAGAGCCTGTGGACGTTTTTGCCCTACTGACTGCCGTGCATAACAATGTTTGTATTCAAATTACGGTGCTTTATTAGAAGAAGTGGGCACAATAGCAGACAATAGACTAGCAATACAAATACACATTGGCATTGATACTTTACAAATTTAACTACGTGCACACATACTGCAGTCGAGGCCAATTCTGCACGAAAAAAATGGACGACGACAAGTCCACAGACGCCTCTTCTGTGGACGCTAGGATCCTTTTACCTCTCAACAAGCTCTTTGACACAGATGATGATGACGACAGTTTGCCCACAGCAGACGATAACAGTAATACCGCCCTTAGAAATGGAAATATTACAAATAAAAATGAAACGAGAAAAGACAGTGTTGTTACTTTCAGTGACATGGACCAGATGGCGGACGGGAGAGCAACCTCCTTATCTCTCATTAACAACCAGGATGAGGACTCGGATTCCAGAGACGAAGAAGACCCCGAGACACCCGACGTGTCTCCCAGAAAGTTGATTTTCAACGCAGCAAGACGCTGGTCCGTGAAAGCAGTCAAAAACGCTGGACCAGAGGGTGTACATGTTAAAGATGATACCAGTTCATTTTTTGTCACGGTAAGTGCGGCTGTTCCTAATAAAATTCGTCTTAAATACACTTAATCGGACTGATTTTGTATTAATTTTGAGTTTGGTGAGGGAGGTGGTATTGTTGCAGAGGGTAAAACGCTGTTTCAAATCTGCCACATCAAAGGGGAAATACAGACTGTGGGTATTACAATAAGGAAAAACATGTTTTGCAAATCTTCACCCTGTTATCAATATCAAATACTCTGACAGATACACGCTTCTAAACGTGAAGCGGTTTTGTTACGATATAACCGTTTTATTTCTGGAATTCAGGGCCGTGATTTTGAAAGCGTGAACACCAACCACACGTACACCAACTCAGAGAAGGAACTCTTAGCAGCTCACGATAGTCTCGACTACTTGCCGCCACATAGCGAGGTTTACAAGGCATGGCTGAGGAATCAACCGGCAAGGTAATCGATCGATTCTTTAAAATCTAGTCAGTATTTTGGCACTGTGCGAGTTTTGGCAGAGATTCCCGTAGTGAGATTGCTTTTACCTTGACAAATAGATGCGTCAGGAATACTTCATCTGCATTACAGTTAAAATTTAATGTGGAGTGGATCGATAGAAAAACTGAATGCGACTGAGTTGTGTTGATGAAGTAAACAGGAATTACTGCAATACATTGATTAAAAATGCAGCTCTTCCTGGACGGGAAATAACATAATAATACGCATAGGCCATCGGGAAGTTGTGGGATTGAATTTCAAGGAGTTCGATGTTATATGATATCAAAGGGTTTAATGTGATCAAAATATTATGACGTTGTGTCACGTAGTGCAAGGCTAGGTAGTGCTATGTGGTGATGTAACGTCGCGTGAAATTTTGTAATTTCCTTAGATACATACCTAAATACAAGCATTTTACTTTACGACATTTAATATATAAAAAAATCTCATCCATTAGTTAAGAATGCAACAATTCCCGACGTAAACACACGTGATTTTATTTCACCCCCTCCCCAGAAGAACCTTCTCAGTTTGTCCTGGTGAAATATCAAAATTATTTTTTCTTGAGGTTTAACTTGGACCGGTGGGTGATGATGGCATTGATAGGGGTAGTCGTGGGGACGGTGGGTTACCTACTTCACCAGACTGTCAACGTGATCGTGCACTTGAAGTGGGAGAAAGCTGGAGTCTTTATTAAGGTATGGGCAAACGAAATAAAGAGCCTAAGATTTTGCACAGTATTGTATACAATATTTTGACTGTTTAAGCGTTCGCATTTTTTTTTCACTGACCCCGTGTCAATCCCATAGGCTTTAGGAGATGGAATGAAATTTCTTCCTTGGTTGCTACTTTAAAAAGCGTAGAAAAATCCAATGTACAACACATTTAAGTGTATTGTAAGATTTTTTCTGTTCCCAAATTGCGTCACTAGACTTCAAGATTTACCATACTTAAGGAAAGAGGCTGTGGAATTTAAAAGATCTTTCTTCTTGGCAGGGTCAGCCGGAAAAGAAGCAAAATACTATTCTCAATATATTATAGGAGTGCAATCTAGGAAATCGATTAACGCGAGTGATATAAAACGGCCTTTCAATAATTTACTACTGTACGGTAACGAGCAGCCTCGAACAATTACTAATGTTTTTGAAAGTGACGAAGAAAAGAAGAAAGTAAAATGTACAGCTAGTAGTTTGAATATCTAAACATAAACAAACAATATGACCACTTCTTAATTGTTTTTTTCCTTTTTTTTATTTTCAGAGTGATATGTTGATGGCGTTCGCCTGGGTGTTAACATACAGTATAGGTTTTACTGCCATAGCGTCTTTCTTCACCGCGGTAAGTGTACTTTAAGGAAATAACAAGGTGAAGTGGTGCCGAGAGACCGATCTTCACGCGATAAGTCCATTATTACTTGTGAAGAATTATGTGTTAACATGGTGCCCCAAATCCATAAGGCCTCGGTGACCATTTTTGCACGATTTCCCCATGTTTCCGAGAAATGTGTTTAAAGAAATAGCGTGAAGAAATAATTCAAGAGATTTGGGAATTTGGACATTTTTATATGATGTATCACGTTAAAATGAAATGCAGTGGATTGTGATCAAATGCTGCTGGACACGCATTCGAAACTAGTGTTTGCTGACAGAGAAACAACATAATAATGGTATCGAAAATTCCAAGTTCGTCTATGTCTTTAAAACAATACACAAATTCCCCTCTTTTACAGAAAAAGCACGATACAGAATAGGACTGATTCGACCAGAAATAACACTTAAGAAATTGAAAATTCAGTATTAAAAAAAATTTTGTAAATGCAGGGTCAGCCAACATATTTTTCTTTTATTCATTATAGTTCGTATGGACACCTGCTGTCGGTTCCGGGATTCCAGAAATCATCGGGTTTCTGAACGGCACAGTTGTCCGCCACGCCCTAAACCTCCGAACTTTCATTTTCAAGTTTATCTCGTGCACATGCGCAGTAGGAGCCGGGCTGCCTCTGGGTCCCGAGGGCCCTATGATACATATAGGGTGAGCAGAATGCACGTTATTCTACTCTTAGAACAACTGGACGAAATTTTGAGACGCTCACCCCAAGTCAATCAATCAATCTGTCTATCTCTTTTGCAAAATATCATACTGATGGAGCTGAAAAAAGACGGGGTGAGCATAGTGCACGCTTGGACATACGTAATTTTGTCCATGGAGCACGTTAACATCCTTTTCGAACAGCTGCCGAATCCACGCAATTTTGAGACAATCTTCCCAAGTTAACCTAACTATCTATCTAACGCTTTTGAAAACTATGAAACTGACGGGGCATGGTAAAAAATAACAGTAGATTTCAGTATTGAAATTAAACCAGAATGTTTGGCTAATATTCAACCCGTTTTTTTTTAATTCTAGAGCCATCATAGGGAATGGACTGAGTCAATTTCGATCACGAACGTTCGGTTGTAAACTCCCTCTGTTCGAACGCCTTAGGAATTCAGAAGACAGGTAAGAGAGAGAGAGAGAGAGAGAGAGAGAGAGAGAGAGGGGGGGAAGGGAGAGAGAGATGGGTCGGTTGTTTCCTTTTGGTTTTCATCACAGTACGTTTTTTAACAGAAAATAAAAGCATCTTATCCTGAGATTGAAATTTGGTGCGCATCCTCTTGATGCAGATATTGGTAAAAAGAAGCCACTACATTACATCAGATCTTCAGAATGTGAGGGGTTGTGAGAGAGTAGAAAGAACCGCCCCTCAGGTCGAAAAAGCAGATGGAAAAAAGTTACGCTCGCATTCAAAATCCAATTTGGTTTCTATGGCATTTCTCAAATTCGGTAAACTAGACGCGTAATAAGGTCCATTTTTTGTTCTTGCTCAGTAAAAAAAATCCCTCACACAGCAAATTTAGGGCATACATGTATCACTGACACTATGCATTTTATATCACGAGCACAGTCTAGTTGCAAAGTTATACGAATTTTCATCATCACACGTACATAGGATTGACGTAGAAGTGAAAAAGTAAGGTAAATGCATTGATTCGCGTTTAATATTTTAAAAAAAATGAAAAATACGAGCTCGCCAGGACTCGAACCTGGAATCTTCCGCTCCGTAGGCGGACGCGTTATCCATTGCGCCACGAGCCCGTAACATGCAAGAAAAGATGCAAAGAACAGTCCCATTCTTTTGACATTAAGCATATTAACAGATCTTTTGGTATGAAAACCGTATAGAATATAAATAAAATAAACTGCCTATTTATAAAACGTCTTGATACCTTATAATACTACATCTGTATTGTCAGAACATATGTATATCGCGCAAACCATATTTCTAAAAGAATAGGTTGAGGGTCACGTGATATTCCCGCTGACGTCATAATGAATGTCGCTGAAAGTAGGTCTCATTGCTTACATTCACAGTAGGATTTACATCGGGTCCTGTTAGAATTTACTGTGAATTGTTGATAGATATTTTCATTAGTATATATCTTAACTTTGAGACGAGCATCATTTTTACTGGTATTTCACGACCACTACATGTAAATTTCCTCTATCTAACCATACGGGCTATAATCACAAGCACTGGAAGAAGTCGCTGTTATGTAGGCCTCCGAAAATGCCTGATCATTTCTAACTGACTACCTCTTTCATCAGTTACCCAGGCAGAATATGAAAGATGCTGCTCAGTCTTTACAGATGTTTCATCAAAAAGTTTTCACAACAATCTTAAAGGCTTTTAAAACGATGTTTTCGACAGGTAGCCCAGCCTGGCAGCAGGACACCTGAGTTTTTTTTTTTTTAATTTCAATTCTTATGGTTCCCAAGGTTCGTCAAGGTAGGCCTAAGGTGTTTTACCACTTAAAAGTCCCATGGTAAATTTACAAGGCTTCTTATTTTTTTACCTTGTGTCTGCTTCAGGGATCCCAGACACTATTACGGCAACAGCATATGATAGGCCTATATGCCTCCAAGTAGGCCTATGCTCGTAGAAAATCATTAATCTTGAAATAATACTTAAAGTCTAGAGTGAGACACCTACTCTCCTATCAGAGACGATCTTTCCTCATAATAAAGGCGAGAAGCCTAACACTCTAAGAGTCGCTCTCTACTCTGCACGGAATGTCCTTTTCAAGGCACCCTATACCTATATAAGTGACTATAAATCTCATACCAGGCAGGCGAGACACCTACCTTCTTATCAGAGACAATCGTTGCTCATAATAAAGGCGAAAAGCCTAACACACTCTAAGAGCCACTCTCTACTCTGCAAGGGGCGCTGTAAAAACACACGTCCTCAGAGGCCCAGCTCTGAATCGTGTTATTTTGGTAAAGTGGAATCTAACTAGGTCATGAGCCCAACACCCCCAACACTTAGACCTAGGCCTACGTACACCTGAGTCGATAGACTTAAGTTTCAATTAATAATAATAATAAAAATAATCATAATAATAGTAAATAAATAAAAAATAAAATAAAAAAAACTCGATGCGGCGACGCGGAAAAAAACTAGATGTCTGTTCTATTAAATGATAGAACAGGAAATGCCAATATTCACAAGTGAAAATAACCTCCACCCCCCAGGGACAGCCACACCGAGGCGGAATCAAACTATGAAGGGCTCTAAAAGGCGATGGCACCTTCAGTTACCAAAGTTTCAACTTTCTCACTTAAATGGCCTAGGAAGGGCTACTAGCAGAACGTGGAAAATAGAACCATCCACCCCCCAAGGACAGCCCCACCAGTCCTAATTTCATTCAAAGTGCACCTGCACATCCCTTGACAGCTCTGTTTATCCACGAAGTTAAAAGCTACTGACTCTAATGATCAGAGAGGAGGTACACCGTAGCCGAGAATCCACACGGATGGGATGGGCAACATTATCCCCGACTTTTTTCAGGAGTGCGGGGATAAACATGGTAGGCCTACTATAAAATAATCTATTAACTAACCAACCATATTCACAAACGCTAAAAAAAAACAAGGCAGCAAAGCTGTCAAATGTACAGACAAAGAACAGAAAATAAAGATGCAAATAAGTGAAAAATTAAATTTTCACAAAAAAATGTTAAATTGCCAGAAAAATTTACCAAACAGACTGCGTTGCCTATTGAAGCTGTATGTTAGACCCATGTTTCTTTCCTGTAAGTTTGAGAACAGTAAGTGACATGATTTCCCTTAAATGGTCATCATAGGAGCAGTGCCCAAAATAGGGGTTTCTTCAAATTTTGATGCAACATTACATAATGTTTAACAGCATAATGACAATCAAATGTTATTAATAAAATATTAGTAACATGGACATTCAGAAAATGTGACAAGCAAAAGTCTTCAAGATCATGGAACTTTAAAGTCACACCTTGAAAATGCCAATATGTGAAAAATTAAATTTTCACAAAAAACTGTT